AGAAAAAAAAACTGGCATGAATGTCTGAGTTTTTGGAGTATCTATTTTAAGTCCAGAGTATCAATTTTTAGTCCTGGCTGTGCCTTAGAAACACACATGAAGCTTTGTTTTTTTAAAAAATACAGATGTCCAGAGAGTCCCCAGATTAGTATACTCAGTGTCCCAAAGCAACAAAAAGGTATTAGTATCCTCTCATATATAATAGAAAATGGAACCATCCTAATCTGGAAGCACATGTAAGGAAGTCCATTCCAGACTGGATCTTCTCACAAAGCCCAAATGTGTTCTTCCTTTTGTTCACTTTGATTTGGATGCTTCTGCTTTGCTGCAGTCGCACTGTGAGCCTCTTCTACCCTCTCAATAATCCAGCACTGGATAGGCTTTCGGATTCGTATCCAGAGTGCCCAGTAAGTGAGGGATGGGGTACAGAGAGGGAAGGACTGAGGGACTGCAAGAGACTGGGAAGAAGTCTCAAGCCAAAACCATTCTGTGGCATTCTGTGTTTCCCAGGAAAGGCCTGCCTTAGTAGCCATCATTCATCCCCAGTGGCTGTGAGAACCCACACAACAGGGCCTCACTGCAATGTAGCTGTGCATTTCAGAGAGCACAGCTGGGCCACACAGCTCCAGTGTGGCAAAGGGGCTCAGCAGCTCTGGGAAAAGCTTTCCCTCACCAGTACCTTTTAAAGCCCTCCACAACTTTTAATGTATCTTCTCACTATTATGAGATTAGAAGAGAAAAGAAAATTGAAAGGCAAAAGCAAGTATTGAGTATTTAACACAAACACACACAAGTTTTCGCCTGTGCAAACAAGTACCAAGTGTTTTAATTTCTCTCAGTACTTCATATGAAATTGACTCTGAAAATATTTTTACAAACACAACAGACCTTATTACATTTTAGCAATGGGTTACTTTTGTCCCAGATATGTATACCAATTAAAAACATTAAAGATACTTGGAGGTAAGTCAACTGAGACTATGAGTTTATAGATTTCTGGAATTTTTCTTAGTCCAATATTCCATATACTCATTTTCAGAACAAACCACCAGTGCAATACAATTTCTTAAATTTTTAGACACTGTCAACAGCTTGGAATCGTATGGCAATCATAATTGGATATTCAAAATTCCTGATTAAGTCAGTTTTAAAGACACAAAATACTTGCTATAAGGTTGTTTATAATGTTCCCAAAATTTCAATTAATCAGTACCACAGAAATTGTTCTTAAAGCTACCAGTTTTATATATATGATGCTTTTCTTTACAGAAATAAAGGATTTGAAAAGCCAACAAATACCAAAAATCAAATATTCAGGATATTGATTTCTATACTCTCTTCTTAGACAAAACATGAAACAGCACCAGAAAAGCCTCAGCGGTTTTTATGGTGAGGTCTTAGAAGGCATGAATGAAGAAGTGGAACTACCCCACACAGCAGGGCAGAGCAGTCATGAGCGTCCACACCTCCATCTCATCAAGGACTTGATGCTTTGAAATAAACACCATGCTTAACACCCCAAGCAAATCTAAAGGTGTATCCGAAACTAAATCCTTCAGTGTCTATGGCCAACACGTCTCTAACTGGCATTAGAGAGACAAGGCAGGACAAAAATATGTTGTGCTGAGTTGTTTACAGAGGCCTGCTCCTCAAATAACACGTGTGATACCATTTCCAATGTTATTATATAGACTTTTTAAACATACAATAAAGCAACTAGATTTTTTACTCTTCCTAGTATTTAAAAGATATCCATTAGGATTAAATGTCAATTTATGATACGAGTCTTTGAACTTCTAAAAGACAATTTCTGGAAATATAAAAATATTATATTTTGCATATTTCTGAGTCCTGAAAAGCTTAAAGTGCAATATTTTCATTTATCAGTAAATTACAATTGTGCCATATAAACTCATCCTGAAAAAGACTATAAACAGCTTCTACATCCTGTGACTGTTGCACTACAGATAGCAGAGGATACTGTTCTGAAGCTTCCAGATTGTCCATAATTCTTCTGCTAGAATGAAAGGGGGGTGGGAGAGGAGCACCAATGTAAAACTTGACCTATTAGCAAACAATGTTTTCATGAAAAGGAAATAGAAAACATGTCACCTCTCCCTTTAGTGGCTTTTCTTCAATTACCTAGTTTACCAAAAATGTTCTCACATTTTTGAATTATTGAACAAATTACCTTTAAACAAAATGTCAAAGCATCCAATATGTGTCTGGCTAAAATCTTTCAAAGAACACTATTTATTCTAAACTCTCCTTTCTTCAGTGAAGACTTTAATTAAAAACAAGCCTATTGTCCTTTCACAATTTTAATATTAATGAGAATTTTCTCTAAGTCCAGAGTGGTATTTCTTTGGTGGTCTGAGCCATTCAGTGTAGAAGGGGATGGCTAGCACATACAGTTACAGAACTAAAGAAGGAAGAAAGGAAAACAATCCTGGTTGGCCCAAAAAGTCAGACTAGAGAATTGCTGGGAATCTAGCAGAATCTTTAAAGTGGTTGCTTTTCCACTAGGCAGCAGCCTTGTAAACGGCAATCAAGACGGCACCTGGGGCCTGAGAAGCTTCAGTGAAGACTGCTTCATTAGTTTCTGCTGGTGTCTCATTGACTGTGCGTTCTCAATGGCACTGAATGCTCTCTGTAAGGCAAAGCACGTTTTATGAGTTAGAAAGGCAAGCTCTGGCTCAACTGGTAGAAGAGAAAAGCAGGCAAGCAAGAGCTGGAGCTCTGCACACAGGTGCAGTAGCCAAGGCTGAGGCTCCCAACCACACACACAACGCAAATCCTGCCCCTTCCACCCTGGTGACCTTGTAGCACAATGTTAAACATAAGCACTGATGCAAAGTTACTAGTAGGAACGACTCTGTGAGCAATAATAAATATTAACTATAACAGGCTTTTGAAAAGTCTTTTGGCTAAAAGCCTTGGGGGAGGGGAGATTCTTAAAATGAACAGTTTACCTGTGCTGTGATCGGATCCTTCAGGTAAATTTTCCTAAGATAGCCTGGATTGGTACTGTTCTTTTTATGGAACAGACCCTGTTCCTATTTAAAAAGAAATAACAATAGAAAATAAATTATTCTTGAAAAGAAAAAAAAAAAA